TAATCAATAAGCACTTAATCCTTTGAATCTCAAGCTAATCTGCTCCAGAAGAGCTTATAGCATCAAAACCATCCTAAAGATTGATGGTTTTTAGACTTGCATGTCCAATGCAAATCTTGGACTCAACATAGGTCAAAATGGAATTTTATGACCAAAATCTTATGCATAACACAAACCAACCACCAAACTTTAGATCCAAACCATGAACTACTCCGAATGATCCAGAGATTCATAAAGTTGCAAACTTTATGAAATCTCTCAATCCCATCTAACAAGATCTAAAAGAAATGGGACAAAATACAAGATCTAGCACTCTATAATCATAAACCTTGGAACTTGGGGACTTATACGAGTCCAGAAGATGCACAATAAGATGGTGAGAAGAGTTGCTTGTTGAATCCAAGTCTAGAAGTCACCTCTTTCTTCTTCTAAACCCCAAAAATCAACACAAAAATCTTCGAGAGCAACAATAGAGGATAAGGTTTACTTGGAGGCTGAGAGAGTGTGAAGGAGGCTGAGGGTGAGCAATCCTATCCATCACATTCCCATAAATAGGGCGCACAGCCCGGAAATTAGGGTTGCTCATTAAACAGCTGCCACGCCGTGGCCATAGGCTGCCACGCCCTCGCGGCCATATAAAAATCCGTGACACAATAACCATCACCACATCGTGGGATACCTGCACCACGACGTGGTACCGCCTAAAATCCAAAATTTATTAATTTATATACATCCAAGAGTCTGGACGTTACAGTATTAAGGTTGTTACACATATGTATAGGATATATTTTAAACATTTTAAAATCTTTAAAGTTTAAAATTTAATTTTAAATTAACTATTAATCTTTTCAAACCTATAAACGATTTATCTTTATCTTTTAATTTAACTATTAGTTAAATTAATTAAATCATTTAAATACATTATGAATTTAATATTTATCTTTTGATTAACATTAATTAAATCATATTTTAAAGACCATAAGGATAGTCATACATTTATCTTATAACAAGATTAGGTTTCTATATTTATATCCTTAAGCTCAAAATTAGAGTTTTTAATCATATAAGACAAGTAAAAAATTGGATTTTAATAGAACCAAAACCAAATAATGACTAAAACCAACATACCAATCAGATAAGGCAGAAAAGGCACACAAATCGAAAAAATAGAAAGGCGCGGCAAGATTTTCGATTTTTTTTTTGTTCTTTTGTTTTTTATTCATCTCATGCATACTTAATGTAAGACAACCAAAGCTCTGATACCACTGATGGTTTTTGCAGGTTGTAAAATTCATGTACAATGCGGAAAATAAAACACTTAACAATTAAGGGTACGTGCAACCTATAACGATCTATATCTTCACATTAAAGAGAACATACTATGAACTACAAACCCTAAAAGAACCCTAGTATAATAGAAAATGCTAGATTAGGGTTACACACCTTTTGAATTATCGTTGCAAACAATTTCTTTGGTTCCATCCTTTGTAGATCTTTAGAAAGCTAGCACCAAAAGGATGATGTCTCTGATGGTTCATACCCAAAGCTAGATACTACAACACAAGAGAGGAGATAGGAGAGGGAAGGCAAATTCTGGTTAGGGTATCTCTTAAAATAGTGGTCGAAACATGAAAACCTTATGCCCCTTTATACAGCTGCAGGAAACACTAAAAACCCTACATTTGAACATAAAATAATATTATTTCAAATCCTAATAATTATCTACTTTCCTTTTAATAAATGAATAATTTTAGATTGCCTTACAAGGTACTCCAAAACTGCCCACACCAATAGGTTTCTAGAACCTCTCATTTGTTCAACTGTTAAGCAATTATCAAGCAGCCCATGTACTTCTAATTAATTCCAATTGATCCAAAATTAATTCCAAATTATCTCAAATCAATTTATTAATAAATTTAATCTATTTCTAATTATTTTATTAATCATATAATAAACTAATAAATTATTTCTTTCTCTCTACAAATGTCATTCTAATCAGTTTTAGTTATGGGGGCAACTCAAAAAGGGCTCTGCTTTTACTTACATTTTTATACCTATTTAGTTATAAGCTTAGACACCTTAATCCAACATATTCAACCCAAAATATAGAAAAAAGGGTAAATAGTTATTTATAATATTTGTACATATGTTTTTTTATTCCTAAAGTTCATACTTGTAACAATTATTATGTATAAGAATTTTGAAGTGGTTTCCATCCTTTTGAATCACTGACATCTACAATGCAAAAATGCATATAATTACTGGAGTTAGAGATAATAGAGCCATAACTCGATTTATTACTTGTATCTTTATCAAAGCAAACTATCCACTTAAAAAGACTCTGATTGTTATGGCCAAAAGCAAACCAGCCACCACCACCACTACCAAGAAGACAGTAGCTCCTTCCACCTACACCTACTACTAATTTATTATAGTTGTCTTTGCTTTTTACCAGGCTTGTGATATTAGGATATCTACTTATAATATTATGAAGCGAAAAAGTTTGCTTACTGTTTGGCATTCTTTGTGTATGTTTCTGATACATCATACTTCTCTTTGTTTAATACCCCTTGGATTTCACCTTTGTTTGAGTATAGATCCTTGTTAAAATCCCAAAAAAATTTAATAACAGATAAAAACTTCTACATTTAAAAGTTATCCTTAAGAAAACATCACAACCATTTACTCCTACAACACTTATGTGTTTTATCGCAATAATCAAATTATAAATTCATGAAATATAAAATGAAGCTAATTTAAATTTTCCAATACGATTGCACAAATTACGAACCCTAAGTTCCAACTTAATAGAAAATAAAGGTAGAAGACCAGGAAAAAAAACCCTGAAATTGAATCTTAATTCTCTTAGGCTTAGATTTACGAAACGGAAGAAGTAACGAGGAAAGGATATTGGAAGAGTAACATGAACACATATCTAGTTGAATTGGTAGCTCCGACATGTGTGGCGACTAACGGGGGAGCAACGGAGAAAAAAGGAGGAGTTAGTGGAGGAAGCAAGGGAGAAAAGAGGCGGAGCTAGCGGAGGAAACGATTGTGAGAAGGGGACGAAGCCATGGAGCGATGGTTGTCGTGCTTTTTAACGATGGGAAGCACTTTTGAGGCCATAAACAAGGAAAATTAAATACGGCAAAGTTTTTTTCTTTTAAGATTGACATGTAAAAATATAAAAACCATCGTGCAATTTTTTATTTTTTTTATTTATGACACTAAAACATGATATACATTTTATATGTTGTTAATTAATTCAAAATATGATTCAATTATGTTATGAACTGGATTTTAAGAACATATTCAATAACATAAAATCAACCAAATGGTTCTAATATTGATTGAAAACACTCTATGATACCCAAAAGTTTACAAAAACTAAAGATAGGTTAGCTGATTCGAGATAGCCACTCTCCCAAGAGGAAATAATTCCAGATTTCACAAAAAAGATTGATACCTCCCTTTCTATCCCACTACCCTCTTATACTATCTGTCATAACAACTAAACAATATAAAATACCCATAATTCCCCTGTACCCACAAGATTCTCTTTATTTGATAATTACCCCAAACTACCCTTTATCTAAAATTAGGTGACCAGAGTGGGTACATAACAAATTATTTATTTCGTAACTTCTTCAAATTTTACAAAAGATGACATCATTTTTAAGACATACGTTTTTGTATGTAATGCATGTTATCCGCAATTTTATACATATGTAACGTTACCCTTGTGCAAAAACGTGAAAGAAGAAATCCATAATATGAACAATAGTCCGGAACGAGACATTCAGAAGAAAATGGTTATTTTTCAAAAAACGTAATTGAAGTGGTTGTTTTCTTAAGAAAAAACTCATTTATAAATGTTGGATTACTTAATTTCCCTTTCTTTGCAGCAGCGGCTCGCCAGTTGACTTTATAATTTTGGGCCTAAGAAAAAACCATATGGTTGAGAGAAAAATGTGCAAGGGCATGTGTACCAGGAGTAGCTAGTACCATTGTCGATAGACGTGATAAACGTAGTGAATGACCTTATATTAGGGCAAAAGGACATAGGCACAAGAACTAGCCAGTCAAATGCTTGTTAATCATTTTTTTCAGTTTGTTTATTTTAGTATATTCATATGCAGATGGAGTTGTTAAATACACCCAAGTGGAAGCTAGCCTTCGTGCCTCCAAGTGACTGAATAGATTATATCTTATTTGGTTTTCACTATTATTCATCAGAATTGGTCTAATGGACCAAGATTCTCCATAATTAGATGTACCCAAACCGGCTAACAGAAAATGTCAACCAACCAATTACTTTTCTGATACATTAACATTGCAAATGTTCTAATTGCCGGAGATAAGAAACAACACTCTTCTCTTTTGTTTGATACTTTTCATGAAGGATAAATCACACAACTAAATATAATCTACACCTCTGTTCAAGCGGACTCAACCATCAACCTATCCGCTGAGGACACCTATCTTCCCAACAACTTCTGGCATCACTAAGCCACTGGCACTTTGGTTTGTTATAAAGATTATTTAGGAAACCAGCATAATTTCATACATGAAGATTGCCCATGGAAAACATAGAGTGATGATTATATAATTTGTACTCTGAATTCGTTTTCTAATTACTTGGAAGGCAGTTCTAAGACACGGAGCGATTAACAAATTCTTTATTTTGTTATTTTGCCAATATTCACAACGAGTTAGGATTTTTGAATATATACTTACTGAGTTTGAAAACATAAGATATTGTGTCAAACATACAATACACATATTTCACCTTAAAAGTCCACACCCTGTTTGATTGGAGTATAGTTGGTAAATGGAGCTAAGGTTGACAATGTAAAACAAGACATATTATGAAATTAAAAGGTCATAAAAAAAAGTTTGGTTTTAAATAAACTCTAAAACAGCTCATCCATAGACGCATTCACAGGGGACTTAGTTATCATCAAAGCTATAAATTGAAAACTCTACAACTTCCTAATCATCTCTCCCTCTGTGCATGTGTCTCTAAGCAATATGGCAATCCATAAGCACATTGCATTTCTTCTACAATTTTTTGCTAGTTGCTCTTGTTTTTGACATCGCCAATGGCTATCCGCTAAAGTTAGGGTTCTACCAAAAGACGTGTCCCAGAGCTGAGGCTATTGTAAAAAGGACAACAGCAAACTACATTTATCGTGCTCCTTCTCTTGCTGCTGCTTTGCTCCGAATGCAATTTCATGATTGTTTTGTGAGGGTATGTGCAATAACAACGTGCATTGCTTATCTATTTTAATTAATCTTATTAATTTTTGTTTATGATAGAAATTGTGTGATGAAATGATATATATGACGTTTCTACAGGGATGTGATGGTTCTATGCTGATAAACTCTACCACAAGTAACCAAGCCGAGAAAGACGGAATTCCAAATCTTTCCCTCAGAGGATTTCAAGTTATTGATGCTGCAAAAACTGCTGTAGAAGGGGCATGTCCTGGTGTTGTCTCTTGTGCAGACATCCTAGCTTTGGTAGCTCGAGATGCAATCTACCAGGTATTTAATTGTCACAATAAATATTTGCATGAAAAAAAAAATCTACGGTTTTTTTTTCTCTTTTTCTATATATAATTAAGAGAGATCAAAGGTTGACTCCTAGACCTTCACTAGGGCACATTAATGGTGACGTGTTTATGTCTTTTACATTCTTCTAAAAAAACCTACGTATTGTTTTTTCTTTTTCAGATTAAGGGCCCATATTGGCAAGTGCCATTAGGGAGAAGAGATGGAAGAGTATCAATAGCATCCGAGAGTTTTACACTACCTGCTCCTTTTGCCAACATTACTCAACTCAAAGCACAATTTGTCTCCAAGGGTTTGAACGTTAAAGATCTGCCCGTTCTTTCAGGTATTTAATCGGTACATCTTTTTATTTTTTTTTATTTTTTTTTTTAATAACCAGTGTATACAAAACAGATTTTCCTTTTAAATAATTCCCGATACCATGCATTTTCTTTTCGTTTTACTCTTTGTAATACGTAAGCAAAAAAGACAATAATATTGCCTAACCAGGTATAAATCAATTTTTTAATGGAACGGTATATATGAAAAATGCAACTTTTTCTATG